CTTTCGCGATGACCGAATGTGAAGTCGACGGATTTTCAGCAAAAAAGTGCAGAATTTTCTTTCTGCCTTCGAGTTCCATGGCAATTATTTCAGTAACTACTAGTGCTGTCACAAATCTTTTTATATTGACCAAAAGCTGAATGGTTAGGCTTTACAATGAGGGTAGTTTAAATAGCGATTGCTTACGTATAAGGTTAGGCGGGAAATTTGAAATCGGTGCAATTTAATCTGTGTCATGCTTTACATTTGTGAGTTAGGCATATGCCTACGAAATCAGTCCCCCCCAGAGCATGTGCTCCTTGATACATTGCGTACCGGACATTTTAACCCGTCGATCCTTCGCTTTGACCTAAGTCTCAGTTACCTTGGCCTAAAGCTCGATGCCTCTAAGGCTGCAGTAGGTACCCCTCATGAGAATGCTTTAATCGTTATGTTCGACAGTTCAGGTACCGGCTCTTTTATATTATATTCTTCATCCATTGATCATCTAACGCAATTGAATCCAAAACTGTTCTAAATATCCCTATTCTGATCCCCTGATGATTCCGATTGATCTCACCCAATACCGGTTGCCTCAATAAATATGCCGTATGACATACGAGGAGTTAACAGTCATTATAACCTCGGACACGCTGGTGATCCGTTCGTGAGTCATTATTGTTAATTCACGTCGGAGCCGCCTACAAGGTTATGACTTTCTCTGCCATAGGCTAGACAATAGGACTCAACACTTTAGGTACCGCTCACGGAGATATCCGGTTATTAAGTCGGACATTCGAAGTTGAACTTTCTCTGCAGTCGGCAACCTAGCAGCTATTTATGTTCCCTCCGCTTTGGCATCAGGCACATTATTTCCATATCCCGTGCTCCTTCACGTGATCCATTCCTTAAGAATGTAATCAACAAAGAAGAAAACATGATATCGATGCTTTATCTTCAACCCCGAAACTACCTCTTGGTCTAGAGGCTGGAATTGGCTGGAAAGTGCACGATTTCAACGTTTTTAGTTAAATGATGCCCGGTGGATTGACATGGCAAAGGGCGATGAGGTAAGAGTTTCCCTTTCCTTGCATCGTAATTGTTGCAGTAGTTGGCATGCAGTTGTCTCATACCTCGGAAACAAGGAGGCCTCTCGAACCTGCCCATGATGAGAACATGAATATTAAAGCTAGCCGACATGTCCATGCATAACACCAGAGTTAGGAGCTCTTTCATTCTCTCACCGCTGATGAACAGGGTGTCCCAACGAATCCTAACGATTTCATTTCAAATAACATTTTTAAATTCTGCACCGATTCTGATCGTGTTTATATCTCCTCTATACCCTCGAGTGTCCCTATTCCTGAACAGCGAATGGTGACCAATCGGATAAGATAAAAGACTTTCCTGGGTGGAAAGTTCACCAGTGACGTAGGAAAGGAGGGGGGGGGGGGGGGGTTTACGGGATTAGAACTTCCCGGTCAGAGAAACTGATGGCATATTTTAGCTGTCCCCCTTCGAAGGAAGTCCGATGTCCGTCCACAGTTGCCAGACCACTAATACTTCGAAAAGGTAAATTCTGGGTAGTGGAGTTAGGCGTAGGGTTAGGGTGTCTAACTGCCCGCAACCCCCCTCCCCTTGCCGATTTCCTGCCATTGCAGCTCGCCAAAAAAGCGTCTATTCGTCCGATGAAGCGAACCTCTCAGGGATATAAGTGTTCTCCAGTCTCCACGTTGATACTCCTTACTAAAGGGAAATTTTCCGTTACCGTGGTGACGCTATCATATCTCACAATCCTCCATTCATGCAGAACACCATTGCAAGATTAGGACCCACTGGTAGTAAAAGCTGGTGTGAAACTTTCATGCTCAACATCTGCAGTGTTATCTTCAGTGGTAGTGGCAACACGAGGTAACATTTATATTGGGATAGATTCATTTCAGCAGTGAGTATGGAAACTACGGCGACGATGAAAAAACTTGTGATTGAGAAGGACTTGAATGATCATAATGATCTAGCGACAGGCATTTCTGAGTGCTTTAGGACAGGACCTAGCTGGTGTGACGTTGTCATTCTCATCCAGGGCGAAAAATTCTACTCTTGCAAAGGGATTCTCGCCTCCGTCTCCCCCTATTTTCGACAGATGTTCTCCACCGACTTCAAAGACACTTCGCAGAGAGAAATCGGGTTGGAAGGCTTCACTTCTCTCTTCTCTTTAACTTTAATTAAATACTTGTCGTCCTTGTTGTTTGGACACCGCTTTATTATTTGTCAGTCGTCTCCTTAGACGGCTTGTCCTGTCTGTGGAACAAGGCCGGACCCTTCCTTTTGCCTCCGATTAACCGCTCGTGCTAAATTACCTTTAACGTTAACTTGAGGCCGAAAACAAGAGAAGAGTCCACTTCCAAGCCCCTCCACACGACAAAATGAGCACATGCATGCAAAGTTAAAACAACATTCTTTCCCTGGGTATTGGCATACAGGAGGGGTGATGCAGAGCGAGCCAGCAGTAAGGGAGTGCGACCAGAAACGTACGGGCGCACTAGTCCAAATTCCGTATTGTGCCTCATACAGGATGAGGTGACATGATGCGCACGACCCAGGTTAATCTTTCCAGTTTGACACTCGGATGAAGTGCTCGATGTGCCCGCCGTGTCATTCTGTGAAGAGGCATGTGACATTGATCGAAACCCAAACGCTGTACGGTTTGCATTCTCCTGCGATGGGGAAACGGTGAGTTCTATATTTAAGACAGATTCAGTGAGCCCAGGCCATAAACAAGCTCATATTCCCGATAACGAACCCTTTTGAAAGCTGGAAGGGTTTTATCTGCTGAGGAGATCTAGAATACATAGGGAACTTCCATGAAATCAAACCTATCACTTCATTTCCTCATTTTCTCAAGTCGAGGAAGGACTGACATCGCGGACACTTCATGGAACCGTAAGAGGTGGTTATCCTCAGACAAGTACTGTGATCAGTCCAGTCAAAGTTAAGTCAGTGCCTGTACTGGACGAGAGCGAAAGCGATATAAAGTGTATATAATGATGAGCGTATTTGCATGACATCCCTATCGCTTTGAGGTTAGCGTTTTTACTCATGGAGGAGGAGATCAGTTTTTCCCATTGGCGATGGAGCAAATTCGCTCCTTTCCCAGAGAGAAAGGGGAGTGAATTGAGAGTTAGCGATTTTACACTCCTTAGAAAATGTGACGTCCCTTCATGCGCATCTTCAGCTCCCCAAACACATGGAAATTGCATGGGGAGACAGTTAATACCCAACGATATTGCCAGACACTTGCCATGTTCCATAAGGCAATGAAAAGAAGGCGCCGAGGTCTCCGGACAAATGGATTGATATTAATTCACAACAACGCCAGACTATAGTCTGGCGTTGTTGAGAAATACAAGAACAAGAAGCAGACAGCAAACAAATGGGTAGGCATGTATAGTCTGCATCCTTTTCTTGATATTTGTTATGGAGTCCATGAGTATTTAATTTTGCTATCATTTTTAATTTCCATAGAGTGCCTTCATACGGAAGCTCACCACCCGCATGAAAGTACAGAGGCATCGCCAGAAGCATCCAAAGAGGTGTCTCCCTAACAAAGAAGTTGCTGCCTCTACAAAAGTGGACATTCCTGAAATTTCTGTTGAAGATGCACTCAGGGAATTGGCTGTAAGCATGAAATTTTAAATTCCTTTATGCTGCTTTGTTTTCACTAATTTCTTTTAATGCTGAAAAGTGACTTTCAAAATTTGCCTGAAATATATTGAGTGACACAAGAATGATACAAGGTATGACGAGACAAAAGATTCCTCCGAAACTTTGCATTCTTCCTTTTCTTTAGGAAATGACGAGAACCATGCAGGCAGGTCTGCCCTTTGACCATCAGCACGTAGACATTCTTCTTTCCCTCACCTTCAATTCAAGAAAGAGCATTCCCATAGATGTCCTCCAACCTTTCATGTGTCACAAGACAGTGGTTAGAAAAATCTTGCACCTCTTCACATAATGCTTAATTTAGTCACTGGAATCATGAGAGTATGGAAGTCATATAATTAGAGTGGTATGTTCTACCTGCAGCTTTCAGGAGAAGTTGCAAGGTGGCTTCATTCAGCTTCATTTTCAACTCTGCTCAAGAAGTTGACTGATGCCCTTGACAAGTTTGCCAATGCCTTCCAGGAGAAGGCAGCAATATTATCAGTGCAAGAGTTCCTTAGTCGTCGTAGTGTCATGTCAAGACTCATTTTGAAGGTAAGCTAGAGCCACTGTGCAGCTACCACATGACTGCTTGTCATATAATTCTGATGTTGATTACTTTGTTTATTTCTTCAAATGGCAGGATGACTGCAGCAACAGGGCTGCAAAAAAGCTTCTGGGGCCACACTGCCTGCTGCATCTTGATCAGTCAGTGCAATTCACATTTTCTGCTACCTCTCAAGTCACTGTGAAGGATGTGTCCCCAGAAGAAGGAGCAATAATATGCTTGGGATTCTACTTCATGAGAGACATATCCTATCCTGCAGCATATGGACAGTTACTTGGCTTTCTTCAAAGTGTTCTGCTCAATGATTCCTTTTCACATAATCTTCAAAGTGTAAAGCTCAGAAATCTGTTAGAGAAAGTCTGTTATAAATCTGCTGGAGTTGTCTGAAGCTGAACATGACTTTCAGTGTGCAATACAGTAACTGCTTACTTGTCTTGAAGTTGTTTATTGTAAACTCAGTTACCGTAGAGGTAACATTCATGGATAAAAAAGGGCCACTTTTTTTACCCATAAACTGTACCTGTATGGGTAACATTATGGGTATCTTTATGGGTCGAGTTTTTACAGTGTAGTCTTGAGTCTCATGAAAACCTGCTAAACCGAAGCGTTCACAATGGCGATTGTGGCAATGAGCTCGAATATCATGCTGAATGTGTTTAGGAACAAAATCTTCCTCTGTACTGTAGGCTGTGTGTGCATAAGTCTAATGAAGCGGCTCAGTTCCGAACAGGCAATGCGATGAAGAGATGATGTCATGAAGACGTTATGCTCATAATAGACAATTCAAATTTCCGCCTATTAGACGGCCAGCGTAGCGGCCGCAGGTCTTATTCTTTAATTCGAAGAGCCCGAGAGTTGTGGTAGTGGTGGTGGTTGTCACCCCAGCGCGCGAGGCCTACAAGACTATGTCACTTCAGGCCATCGGCTAGGCCATCCACCCTTCAAAGCGCCAGGTCCTAGAGGCTATGCTATTCTAGACCATAGGCTTGGCCATCCAACGCTTTTAGCGCCAGGTCTATCAGTCTGGCCTACAATATTAGATCATTTTAGGCCATAAGCTAGGCTATGCCATCCTTGGCCATGGGCTAAACCAGCCACCGCCCAAAGCGTCAGGTCCATCGACCTATATCAGTCTAAGCCATAGGCTTCATACTTAGTAACACCCTTTGCTTGAGATAGTTAACTGAATGCGTGTCACGTTTTCACTGATCGACTGCAAGTTCTTCATTTGAATACATTCCTTGCTGGGGTGTTTTTTCTGTGGTTATTTATTTCCGTTAAGTCAGACGTGGCAGTTCGCGCCATCGCTTCCATGCAATAGTTTTTGCGTTTCATGTCATGGTCGATTTATTTGAGTTCTCATGATTGATGAAGTCGAAATAATAGTCTTAAAAAGTCTCTGCTTCTTATGTCGCGCAAACGAGGTGCACCTCCCATCAAAATGGTGGCAATTTTTGCGAGGTGAGGTTGACGGACGTCCCACAGGACGGCGATGAGGCAGTTGTTGTTGGTAAAAAAAAACGGTTGGTTTGGCGCGAAAACAACGTTTGCCACTGCAGTTGCCGTGCGAAGTGTCTAAATTGGTGCTAGCCGCAAAAGCTAGAATCAGTGATAAACAGCAAGCAGATGTGCGTAGAGGCGCTTAGACCGCTGAACAGCAAGAGGCAGCGAATGCTGAGCTCCGGAGTAAGAGAGCCATGCAGCCTGCTGGCAACTTGATGCAAGGAACGCAGCACTCAGGTGTCGATAGCCGGGGGGCGGCCGGGAATTGAACCCGGTCCTCCTGCTTGCCGGTCGGGTGTTATACCTTTACACCACGAAACTCGGGATGTTATGCCTCTCCATGTCATGTCTATCATCACAGTTGTTTGTCGCAACGAGCACTGTCGGGCTGTAAATTTTGATGTAGGGAGGAGGCATTTGCTTCGCAATGGAAAAATGCTCCTGCCGCAACTCACACTTTAGCACCAGTGAGCAACACTTTCAGAGCCTCAGGGTAATGTGGTGGCGAGGCATTTTCTGGAATCAGTCGCTAGCATTGTGCCGCGCATGCACTAAATTCCCTCTGTGCCTTCGAACAAGTTCTTGAAAATGATCAGTACTGTTACAGAATCATTGGTGTATGTACCATATGCTAACGCTAATAGCCCATGAGCTAATCAGTGATGCAAGAGCATTGAATGTGCTTGGGAGACGAAATCAGCAAAGTCGTCTTGAGTCTTATGAAAACGTGCTAAACCGTTCACAATGAACGATTGTAGCAATCAGTTGGAATATTATGATGATGGTATATAGGAACAGAATCTTACAGAAAACGTAATGAAGCGGTTCAGTTCCGAATGGGTAATGCGATGAACAGAGGATTGTCAAGGAGCCGTTATACTCATAATAGACGATTGAAGTATCCACCTATTAGACGGCCAACGTAGCGGCCGCAGGCCGCTAGTTTCCTTCCAATTCAATAAGCACTGGCAAATGAGTTAGTGTGAAAGAATCGACCATACATATGATATTCGTGTACTTGCATTAGTAAGAATTTAACCATACTCAAACGTGTCTGTCGCTGCTTACTCCTTGAAATATACTTCTCAACTGCTTAACTTCCCAAAACTGATTAACTTAAAGAGGATTCACAAAGCCTTAACTGAATTGACTTAGAGTGCAGAAAATGCCTGAATATACCAATGACGGGGTCAATAAAGTATGGCACTTAAGCGGCGCCCACGCAAAATAATATAATTTTGCAATTTGTGCATTCAGATGGATCTGCAGTAGAAAAGAATTTTCATCGATTTCCTGTATCAATTGTTGCACAGGCTTTCATGAGGGATATATCTCATTACGTGCTACTAGTCCTTACAATATCCATTCCCGGCCATTGGTGATATTTCTATTGGATACGTAAGCAATTGTGCAATACTATACAAGGTCATATTAGAAAATAAATGGAATGAATTCATTAAATACATTGAGAAATGCAGGGAATGTAAACATATTCTACACAATTTCTAGCTTCATCTGATAGACTTCCTACATCGCAGTAAGACGTTCAATGCGCGATGGTGTCTTATTCATGTCAAAAAGTGGACATTTGCGACGAACGAAGAGCATACCGCTGTTAGCATTGTCGTCGGCGAAGTTGGGGGAAATAAGAAATTGATCGGATCTCAATTGGTCGGGTTCCTCGGGCTGGGAGCCTTCGGCTTGGACTATAGTGACCTGGAACTTCGGAGTGACCTGGGACATCTTGTCGCCTCCTTCGTTACTCTCCTTGCAGTAGCTCGGTGGAACTTCTGCGCTCATTGCCTGCTAAAACGGTTCATGGACGCGGTTTAGAGGGAGGGAAGAGGATGGAGTGTTGCAAATATATTAAATATGCAAAAAGATGAACCTAGGGACTAAATACAAAGCCATCACGCGAAAAATATTCAAGCGCCTCTTTGTTCTCTTTCTGATATGCATATCTTTGAAGAGCAGTTACGTGTATAAATGTTTTCAGATCTCATTACTTCTTCCATTGGCATTGTCTCTTGGAGATGCTTTCGATCACAGTATACATATACAGGGTGATCATTTTAAGTGAGAACCAAATAAATCTTCAATCATTTTCTAAAAGGAAAGAGTTGGGATTACGAGAATTGGTAGTAACGTACTTTGTTGTCTGGAAAGACGTGCAGAGTATTGGTTTATCACTAGAGGAGTTTAAATTGATCACCGCCATTTTAGAAGCACAACAATGCACGTCCCTGAGATGTGGGTAGGTTGTCGGCAATGAGTTACGAGATCTTGTTTTTCAATTCATCCAAGGTGTGTGGATTATTGTTGTAGGGATTGTCCTATGCATAGGAAGAAATCCAAAGGCGAGAGATCTGGTGAGCGTGGGAAACACAATCCTATCGAAATGATGCGTTCCCCAAACAAGAGTGGAAGGTCGGCCATACTCTGCCTCGATATGTGACTTGTTGCACCATCTTGCTGCCACCATGCTCTTGCAATCTCCTCTTCAGTCAGGTGTCCAAGAAATTCACGAACTAATGAACGGTATCCGTTATTTTGTCCCTTGTGTCTTATGCAAATTACAAGCGATAGCGCTTTGAAAAATCATCTGTTATACAGCGTGACATGGTTAACGGATTGGGTTGAAGAATCCTCTGAATAGCTTACACTCAGAAAATTCCGAGTGTTTGGGGAGTAAAAAGTGAACACACACTGAGCTTTTCGACTTTACTCTCATATGACTCATCAAATGCTCCCTCACCGCTCGTATTGAAGTGAACACCTTGAAGTTCTTCGCCAGGCCACTAGATGGAGATTAAGGTCTCGCTTTTCGCACAGTACACAAAAGTTCCCTTCCCTCTTTCCCTGGAATCGTCCCTCGCAAGATTGTTTAGTACCTCGACATATGTCTCGCCTAGTTTCATTATAGGAATCAATAAACACGGACACTTCATCATTTGTTTTTCACATATTCAAGACGTATTTCATAGAGTCCAGGCCATAAACAAGCTCATATTCCTATTAAGAACCCCTTTTTGAACACATGATTTTATCAGCTTAGGAGATCTAGAACATAGAGATGTCCATGAGTTTCATTTAATCTTACCTCAATTAAATGAGGTAATCAGGGACTGATCTCCCTGATACTCTACGGAACCTATAGAAGGTGGTTCACACTCTCTGACATGTGCTGTATTCAGTACAGTCAGAGGTAGATGAACGCCTGTACGAGAGCGAAAGCGACACACAATATGAGAATTCTCGTATTTGCATAACAATCCTATCACTTTCTGATGGGAGCGTTTTTACCCACGGAGGAAGAGAGCAATTTTACTCCTTTGTGATGGAGTAAGTCTTGAAAAGTTGAAATCTTTTCATTTGTTCCTTTTTGTAAGGGTGGAGAATACATTTTTCAATACTTCCCTCTAATCTACGCGAATGGGGCATATTTCAAAAGTAGGATTTTTCTTGTACTCAGCCATCAAATAGGTACTTCTGAGGGAATTTTAAATTTTCTGTCTGTGTTTCGTTGGATCGAAAAATAATTCGGGAAAATGGGACTTGAAAAAAAGTGCCATGATGGGTTTTAACGAAATTTTTTTTTCTTCTGAAATGCTGACTCAGGGAACTCCATGCCCCCAGTTTCAGCCTTATACGTTTCCCCTTTTTACTGACCGTAAAAAATATATTTGGAAAAGCGATCCACCCAAAAGCTGTGCTCTGAGGCGACACAGCAAAAGTTGAATTTTTGCTTAAATCAACATCATGTCCGTTATGCGTGCGCCAGCTGCTACGTTTCTATTTCTGCCCGATTCGGTAGAATATGAAAAATTCTATGAAAACATAACGTCCCTAAGAAATATCCCCACAGAATTCCAACATTATGGAAA